AAGTTTCAGAGTCTCTTCTGACATCCATTTTGGTCTTTTCTTTCTTGTCTTTTTAATGATCTCTTGCTTTCTTCATGTATGATGTTCTTGACATCATTCCACAACTTGTGTGGTCTTTGGTCATTAGTGTTCAACGTGTCAAATCTGTTCTTGAGATGATCTCTAAATTCAGGAGGAATATACTTATGGTTGTACTTTGGCTCTCGTGGACTTGTTCTAAATTTTCTTCAGCTTCAACTTGAACTTGCATGTGAGCAATTGATGGTCTGTTCCACAGTTGGTTCCCGGCCTTGTTCTGACTGATGATATTGAACTTTTCCATTGTCTCTTTCCACACATGTAGTTGATTTGTTTCCTGTGTATTCCATCTGGTGAGGTCCATGTGTATAGTCGATGTTTATGTTGGTGAAAAAGGTATTTGCAATGAAGAAGTCGTTGGTCTAGCAAACTTCTGTCATGGGATCTCCAGCATCGTTTTTTATCACCAAAGCCATGTTCTCCAACTACTGATCCTTCTTCTTTGTTTCAGACTTTTGCATTCTAATCACCAGTAATTTTCAATGCATCCTGGTTCCCAGTTGTGGCAGTAGTCGCCTTAACAGCTAATAGTCATTAAGTTGGTGGTATGTGTCAGGCACTCCTCTGAAGTCTTTACATGCATTAGTCGATTCGCTCCTCATAACAACATTATGACGTGTAAGTACTGTTATCATCAACCTTAGTTTACAAACGAGGAAACTGAAGCACAGAGAAGTCAAGTGGTATGCCCACATGCCCAAAGCCAGTTAGTGACTGAATTGGGATTTGAATTTAGTCTAGCTCTAGAATCTGTGCTCTTTAATCACTATGCTATATTCCTTCTGTGAAATTGTTTTGTAGCAGTATAAGAGTTTCCTCATTGTGTTTTACATCTGAATATTTTATGTCCCTGCTATAATTTATTTTAGTATTCTGTTTTGCTTGTTTCCAATATTTTGCTTGTACAATATCATCTTGTACATTTTATAAGTGTATCTGCAGGATGACTGTCTGAAGTGAAAATGGTAAGCAAAGGTACCAACTCTTTTTCCTTTTTTTTAAAATTAAATTGAAGTATTGAGTAAAGTTCACAAATCTTAAGTATATATCTTTATCATTTTTTTTACATATGAATACTTCAACCACCATCAAGATGAAGATTTTTACTTGAGCATGTGGTAGTCTTGTCTTTGTTTCTTTCTAGCTAATTCTCACCACCATCTCAAATTCATATCATTGGAATCATACAGTGTGTACTCTGTTGTTTTTTGATTGTTTACTAAGTGTCTAATTGTTGTTGTCGTTGTTAGGTTCCGTTGAGTCTATTTTCAATTCATTACAACCCAAAATGACAGAGTAGAACTGCCCCAATTGGTTTTCTAGGCTGTAACCTTTACAGGAGCAGATTGCCAGGTCTTTTCTCCCATGGAGCCATTGGATGGGTTGGAACCATCAACCTTTTGGTTAGCAGCCGAGCTCTTGACCACTGCATCACCCAGGTTTCTCAAGTACCTACTTAATAGTCTTATTTTAGCTCTTGGCCCTCAAAGCCTAAGCGCTTACTACCTGGCCTTTTAAGAAAAAGTTTGGTGGTCCTGGTTTTATACGTTTCCATAGGTCAGTGTTTCTCAGCAGGGCTTCTTTTTGCATTTGTGCAGTTCAGTTTATTGTGACAACTAACAATGCCCCTAGTGGAAGCAGTGCCATACGTGACCAGTGAAAATAGTATCTCTGCCTTCTTCCAGTCATTACTATGAATTATAAGAGTCATCACTGTCTGTTTTCAACGTGTTCTTTTTTCCTCAGGCCGTATCACATTGATATTTGAAAAATACTGATTTTTTTATAAGCTTTATATATTGTATACAGTATATTTTGAGAAGTAGATTGGCTCTTTGATGTTTTATTAGCTAACATACCCATGTTTTGTTACTCTCTGCCAAGGACTGTGGGCAGTAGTTTTACGTGTCCTTTTTCTGTTGCTTAACTAAACCCTGTCAGGGGGTTAGTGGTGTCTCCATTTTATAGTGACGTAACTGCCCCAAATCATATAGCTAGTAAGTAATTGATGATGTGTTACTGAACATTTCTGAGAGGGAGCTAAAGCAGACAATGTATGAAAGGGGACTAAAGGCTAAATCCTAGATAGATTCATCCTCAGCTATTAATTCTTCGCTGGAATGGTAACTTTTCCTAGAAATTGAGGGGAAACATGTCTACCCTTGCTAACATCTAGTTGGCTCTCATTGCCCTAACATTTTTTAAAATTTCCTAGTAATGTTCTGTGCTTTGAAGAAAATGCATATGCCTTGAGGACTAATACAGTGGACATTTCACAAAGGCAGCTTGTTTGGAATTGGCGGTGATAGGTTTTCTCTAGTGTTTTCCTTTTTGTTCACTGATTTTATAGACTTTAAGCTCTCTGAGGGCTAGGGTTATGTTCTGCCTACTCCTGCATATTCAGTGCTTGGCACAGTGCCTGGCCATAATAAAACAAACAAAAAACCAAATCCATTGTTGTCCAGTCGATTCTGACTCATAGCAACCCTATAGGACAAAGTAGAACCGCCCCGTAGGGTTTCCAAGGAGTGGCTGGTGGATTTGAACTGCCTACCTTTTGGTTAGCTACTGAGCTGTTTAACTCTGCGCACCCAGTTAATACTTGTTAAATCATTTTTGGAAGTTTAAGACTCACCATGATGTAGAGGAACACTCAGTTTGGACTTCAGTTTCCTGTGTTGTTTCTCCAGCTTCCCATTAAGTGTGAATTTTGTCAGGCTCCATGGGCCTCTGTTCATTGTTCATTAAAGTGAGGGGTTTCTTAAGATGTTGTGATATGGTGTTTCCATTGTTATACTGTCAGCTTCTGATTCTTCCATGTTAAGCTTGCCCATTCTCTCCCTGCTCCAGCGGACAATCTTACATTTCCATGTGTTTGTTGCCTGTTCCCTTCCTTTTTCCATCGAGTTTTTCTTATTTCAGATACTGCCCCATGAACTTCCTGATTAGAGGTATGCCCAATGTGAATTCCTTCCCAAGTCCAGCTGTCATTCTTAGCTTTCAGAGTCAGCTTAGTGAAGGGATTGGGTGAATCTACAGCTTTGACTCCCACAGTGCAGGTTTTCCCAATGTGTGGATCTGGCATGGCGGCGGTGGCTAGGGTGGACATGTGTTCCCCACCTGCCTTGGTTTATTATAAGGAAGGTAGTGGTACGATGGCCATTTGTTTCTTTTTAGAGAGGTTGTGTCTGCACCATGTTTAGGAGCGCAGACTTGGGGGCCAAGCTGCTTTGCAAGTAATAAAACGGGACTAATATACATACCTCACAGGGTTGCTCTGTGTGAATTGCTGGAAACAGTGCCTGCAGTATAGTAAATGCTATGCAAGTGATTTGCTGTTGTGGATTATTGCTGATTTTAGAGCTGTTAAGGGCTCTTCCTCATTGTCCTCATAGCCATGCTGCACTTACCTTCATCTGACATTGTTATCATCTGATTGCACATCTGTCTCTCCCATGACTTTCAGACCTTTCAAGGGCAAAAACCATACCATATCACTATGTCCCTAATGCCTTGCCCAGTGTTTGGTCCATTTGTGAATTTGTTTAACTTGAAACTGAACTCAGCTACTGGTGGTTAGAGATAGATAGCTGCTATTGAGTCGACTCCAACACAGTGACCCCTGTACATCGGGATGAGACATCATTGCTCGGTCCTGTGTTCTCACCATCATAGGTATGTTCGAGTTCATCCTTGTGGCTACTGTGTCAGTCCATCTCACCAAGGTTCTCACTTACCCTCATTGACTGTCTGCTTAACCAAACACAATGTTCTCCTCTAGCAATTGATCCCTCCTGATGATGTGTCCAAAGCAAGCAAGTCTGACAATGTTCTGTTGTGATCCATAAGATTTTCATTGGCTAATTTTCAGAAGTAGATCACCAGGCCTTTCTTCCTAGTCTGTCTTAGTCTAGAAGTTCCACTGAAACCTGTCCACCATGGGTGACCCTGCTGGTCTTTGAAATAGTGGTGGCACATCTTCCAGCATCATAGCAATACACAAACCACCACTGTATGACAGACTGATAGGTGGTGGACTAATGATTAGCGAGGTCTTAATTTTTGCTCTGACTGGGGATACTGCTCTGTAGCATGCCTTAAAACCAAACACCAAACCCATTGTCATCGAGTCGATTCCAACTCATAGCAAGTTTATAGGACAGAGTAGAACTGCCCCAGAGAGTATCCAGGCAGCGGCTGGTAGATTTGAACTGCCAACCGTTTGGTTAGCAGCCAAGCTCTTAACCACTGTGCTGCCAGGGCACCCTGGTCTGCCTTAAGAGCTAGTGAATATGCAGAGCGAAGGGGGATGAAAGGGTATAAAAAAAGATGTAGTCTGTGGTTGTTGTTGTTAAGTGCTGTCAAGTCGGTTCTGACTTACAACAACCCTATGTACAACAGAATGAAACACTGCCCGGTCCCGCATCATCCTCACAATCGCTATGCCTGAACTCATTGTTGCAGCCCTGTGTCAGTCCATCTTGTTGAGGGTCTTCCTCTTTTTTCACTGACCCTCTACTTTACCAAGCATGATGTCTTTCTCCAGGGACTTATCCCTCCTGATAACATGTCCAAAGTATGTGAGACGAAATCTTGCCATCCTCGCTTCTAAGGAGCATTCTGGTTGTCCCACCTAAATCACGCACGTGTGGGCTGCTGTTCTCTCTGATACCCTCATAGTAGAGTTGACATTCCCATTTGTAAAGCTGATTGTTCAGTGTTGAACAGTAGCGCACCGTAAAGAGTTAACACAGTGGAGTTAGGAGAGCAAAGTAATGCCTGCGTGAAATAGCATGAAACATTAGTCCTTGGACAAAATGAAGAGATGTAAGATATCAATGTGTTTTAATCACTCCAGAAAAGCTCAGTTGTTAATGCCTAGAAAACTGTTGTTGGAATGATGCTTTCTTTTTCCCTCTCAGGATTTGACGGGGTCTGAACTATATACCCAGGCAGCTGATCTTTTGCATCCTGTTGTTTACACTACTGCTGTAATTCTTCTCTTATGTCTCTTAGTTGTCATCATCAGTTACATATACCATCACAGGTAAGAAATAAACTTAGACGTACAACGATCTGTGAACTTTGGCTTGAAGGAGTTTATTTCATATTTGATTAGCATGAAACATTGTTTAATACTATGCTATGTACTTCCAAAGTAAGGACTGTTACTTTAGAATACACACAAGTCTGCATCATTTCATGCAGCTTAAACATAAATAGTGAATATATGAGATGGTCAGTTCAACTTTTAAAGCGTCCAGTCAGTTTGCTGGGTTTGGGGATTTCTGCTCCAGTTTTCAGACATGAGTGCCCATGCCGATGGGCACACAGTGTTTTTTCTTGCTGCTGACAAGAAGGTGTATTTTTTTCAGGCCCAGCATTAACAGTAAATAAACTATTAACAATAGGTATTTAAAAATAAATAATTATTTATTGTTTGGGCCCAGCATTAACAGTAAATATTTATTAGCAATAAATATTATGTCTCCATATAAACGATTACAGACTATTGAGTTGGAGTCCCTGGGTGATGCATAGGGTTAAGCGCTCAGCTAGTAACTGAAAGGTTGGAAGTTTGAGTCTACCCAGAGGCACTTCGGAAAAAAAGATGTGGCTACTACTTCAGCAAAAGCAGCCATTGAAAACCCTGTGGAGCACAGTTCTGCTGTTGACACGCATGGAGTCATCAAGAATTGAAATCAACTTGACAGCAACTGCTTTTTAACTATTGAGCTATTGTCAGTTGAAGTCAGTATCTGGAAAATAACATGGGGCAGGCGTGTATGTCTTGGAGGTTGGAGGGGTACAGCACAGGAGCAGTAGAAGGTGAGGTTAACTTGGAGATTTGTTACCTGTAGAGGCAAGCTGATATCTAAGTTTCAGTACCAGACTGTGTTGTTATTTTTATTTTATGACTTTTTGCCTGCTGTGATATTCTTTATTTTATTGATGGCATTTTTAAGAAAGTTTGTGGCATCTAAGCGTGGGATATGGTTTTTGTTAATTGGAGGTAAAGCTACAGAAACTTTAACCTTATGGTAGGAAATAATAAACTAAAAGAATTTGCTAAGCAGAAATTCACTTTACAGAAGGTTTCACTAGGATGTATTTTCCTTTTTAAGCTAGACAGATAGGACATTTCTTGACATTTAGTTGAGAAACAAAAGGAGATGTTGCTTTAAAAAAATAAAGAAGAAGAACTTGAACATTTCACTATGAAAGGCCAGAAGGAAATGTATTGGGCATTTAGACCATGTTACCCTAGTGTGTCAGGAAGAAATGCCCATTGGCATATTGCAGAAATCTCTAGAGAGCCTGGCAAGTCATCCAGCAGTCAGAAGACATTGTCACTGACAAAAGCCCGTGTTTCTCATTACTGAGAATTTGTTAGGTTTTAGTGGGTGCCATAGTTCTATCAATTACTTTTCTTTTTTAGTGTGTAAGGTTAAATGTTAAAAAAAACTGTTGAGTTAGATGATTTCTCAAGTCCTGTGTGTGTGCGTCTGATAGTTTCTGTTTTTTAAATAAAATCTTTAAATATGAAACATTTTAATGTGTCCTTTTATGAAGTTGGAATTACTGTCTTGTGGATGAACATCGCTAGGATCGTGCTTCCCATTTTAATATTTTGCCCTTTTGTTTTTTTTCCTTTAACAGTTTGATTAGAATCAGTCTGAAAAGTTGGCATATGCTTGTGAACTTGTGTTTTCATATTTTCCTGACCTGTGTTGTCTTTCTGGGAGGCATAACTCAAACCAGAAACGTCAGCATCTGCCAAGCAGTAAGTCAGTGCAAAATGGAAATGGAAAAAAAATATTAGAATATAATTTCCTCTATGTCACTAACTATAAAAGGAAAAATATTTCTTTAAAGTTTTTTTTCTTTTACTAATAAACTGAGTATTTGTCGCTAAATCAGTTTACTAATATACTGCAAATTTTGAACCATCATATCACAGCTGAATATATATCTTCAGGAACTCATTTATCTTTGGGAATTCCAAGTTACTTGTTATGTCTATTATAATGCCTAACATTTAATTTTTAAAAAATTTATAAAACCCTGACTTTGACTCAAAAAGTAGTAGTATTTTCTGACAAAAGGATTTTTAAAATTATCTCATCAATTGATGAAAACCATAGGAATTAGAAGAAGGTGTAACTGTAAAATAGAAAACTCAAGGAGTTTTTGGGTTTGACAGATATGAAGAATTTAAAAGTATTCAGCTTTATATTAAAAAAAAAAAACCTTGATTTTCAAATAAATGGTTATATATGTAGCCACATCTTTCTCTTGCGGAGCCGCTGGTGGTTTTGAACTACCAACCTTTGGTTAGCAGTAGATTGCTTTAATCACTGCACCACCAGGATTAGTGAATAATATTCTTGTAAGTATGAGAAATTGAAGATATTCAATAAATAAATAAGGAAGATTCAAACATTTATATATTTGTATGTTGTTTTCTTTATGCATGATAGCAAACAGAGTAACATAGTAATTAAGAGTTCAGATTGCCTGGTTTTGGATCCCAGGTCTGCCATGTGTTTGTTGTGTTTTTTGGTCAATTTACTTCACCTTCCTGTGCCTCTATTTTCTCTCTTGTACATTGGAGAGAATAATTGGGTTGTTGGATGATGTGATCGTTTATACAAGAAACAGAAAAAAGCTAAAATAATCTACAGAGGAGTTACTCAAAATAATAGGAAAGTTTAGCAAAGAGTGAATGGAGGTTTAACATATAGAAATGTGTTTGCTGCTAGCATGCAGAAATGAAACTATGAGAAAATATGAGAAGATACCATTTATATCAAAGAATATCAAGTGCCTAGGAAAAATAATAGATGTTCAAGATTTACAGGTAAAATTATAATATATATTAAAGAAGACTCAAAATGATTGGAGAGATATACCAAGTCCAAGATTTAATATCAGTAAGATGTCCATTCCTCCTAAATTAATCTGTAAATAAGAAGAGAATTTTCATGAAACTCAAGATGATTTAAAAGTTTATAAGAAAACAAAGGGCCAAGGATAAGCATCACTAATTGCTGAAGATCAAAGGCTCTAGTCTTCGGTTTGGATTACATCTCAACATAAAGAAAACAAAAATCCTCACAACTGGACCAATAAGCAACATCATGATAAACGGAGAAAAGATTAAAGTTGTCAAAGATTTCATTTTACTTGGATCCACAATCAGTACCCACAGAAGCAGCAGTCAGGAAATCAAAAGACACATTGCATTCGGAAAATCTGCAGAAAAAGACCTCTTTAAAGTGTTGAAAAGCAAAGATGTCACTTTGAGGACTAAGGTGCACCTGACCCAAGCCATGGTATTTTTAGTCACCTCATATGTATATGAAAGTTGGACAGTGAATGAGGAAGACTGAAGAATTGATGCCTTTGAATTACGGGGTTGGCAAAGAATATTGAATATACCATAGACTTCCAGGAGGATGAACAAGTTTGTCTTGGAAGAAGTACAGCCAGAATGCTCCTTAGAAGCAAGCATGGGGAGACTTCGTCTCACGTACATTGGACATGTTATCAGGAGGGAACAGCCCCTGGAGAAGGACATCATGCTTGGTAAGGTAGAGGGTCAGCAAAAAAGACGAAGACCTTTAGGGAGATGGATTGACACAGTGGCTGCAGCAGTGGGCTCAAACATAGCAATGATTGTGAGGATGGAGGAGGACCGGGTAGTGTTTTGTTTTGTTGAACATAGGAGTCACTGTGAGTTGGAACAGACTGGACAGCACCTAACAACAACAACAACCAGTGTAGTAAGGAGCCTTGGTGGTGCAGTGGTTACTCTCTGGGCTGCTAGCTGAAAGGTTGTTGGTTCGAACCCACCCAGCAGTTCTGCAGGGGAAGAGACCTGGCAGTCTGTTGCCGTAAAGATTACAGCTTTGAAAACTCTATGGGGCAGTTCTGCTCTGTTGCATAGGGTCTCTGTGAGTCAAAAATCGACTTAGTGGCACCCAACAATAACAGCAACAGTAACCAGTATAGTTGTGTCTTTCTTACCTCACTTTGAGAGGTCACATATTTTGTGAACACTGTGAACCAGTTCTAATATAGTTTCTCCCCCTACAATGATTAGTGGAGGTCATTAAATGTTGCCAGGTACCTCCCATTCTGGTTCTTAAGTTGGTTCCAGGTGGTACCTTCGGTGTTTTCTATGGCATTGAACTCTGTTTTGCTGAAGGAACTGAAGGAGCACTGAGAAGCCGAGTGATAGAGGAGAAAGGCTGTTGACTCAAGGTTGGAAGAGGTCCTGGTCCTGGTTCATGTTGTGTCCCAAAGAATTGTTTGAACATTAATTCTCTGGTCCTCGATTTCCGTAGCTATTTGGCGGAGGTATTCGGCTGGATCTAATTTAGGTTACCTTGTTACTCTAACATTCCATGATTCAATCTATTAAATACAGTGCCAGCTGACCTTCTCAGGTGTCCTTTTAGATCTGTAATCTAGAGGATTGCTGCCATGGCACGTGAGATGCGTTGGGAAAAATCTAATAGTGAATGTTAAGAGCTTTCTACTTGCAGCTACTGCAAACATGTTCTCTTAACTTTTATGTTAACCCTAGGAAGTACTTCTTATTCATATGCTTTATAAATAGATAAACTGAATTGGAGAGAACTGAAATAATTTGAAAAAACTGAAATCACCAGGGCTACTAGGTGGCTAAGGTATGATTCAAACGTGGCTTCTTTGACTCTGATTCCCCTCCCCTTCCCACCCCCAGTCACTGTGCTTTACCGGATAGTGGGAGCCAGCATGGCATAGGAGAAAGGGCAAGGGCTTTGGCAGCCAAGAGACTTGGGTTTGAATCACAGCCCTGCCACCAACTATGTAACATCTGGCGGATGATTTAACTTCTCTTAGCCGCAATCTCCTTGTCAGTAACTCAGGGTTAATAATACTGACTGAATAGTGATGCTAGGTGGATAAAATGAAATCGCATACAAAACTATCCAGTACATTTTTTGGCACATAGTAGGCGTTCAGTAATGGAAACTTACTGTTTTTAATTTCTGTGTAATCGTGTGTATCATGTGTATTCTGGAGGTTTATCATACTTATCAATTATTTATTCATCTTACCTTACAGATTATTTTTGCACACCAGCTATGTCTCAGTTTTATTGGTGGTTAAAATAGGATTGTTACAATACCTAGTCTCAAGTATGTGAGAGTTCCTAGTTAGGTAATATATATGTGTGTGTGTATGTTGGTGTGTATGTATGTGTGTGTATTTATATAAAGTGGATCTTTTTCAGATAATTATTTTTTACCCATATTACAGCTTTAGGAATTGGTGTCCCTGAGGTAAAGTGACTTTCTTAAGTAATAACCTGTTGTATTTAATTAATCATTTGCATACCCTATGAATTAGATTACTTATTTCCAAACTGTTCACAGAATTTCCACATGTATCTCCAATTTATTTGGAAGCCAGTGTCGTGGTGCAGAGGATGTATTTTACTGGTAGCCCAAGTATTGGTTGGAGAATACAGTAGGAGGTACCACATTCCAGAAGAAGGGAAAACCCTCATTATTAGATCTCAATTCCTCCTTTTTTTCTGGTTTTTGTGGAATCTTTGGTCATTTGGTTATGGGACTATTACCAGGAGACATCAGACTTCTGAGATTCCACTTTTGGTTTAATTGTTTAACTAGAAAGCTACAGTATGTTTTCAAGTGTGAACACGTCTCTGAAAATTGAGAAATGCCATAGAAAACACTTGAAAACCTAAAGATCAAGTTTTGAAAATTCTTCATCTTGCACTTCCTGTGTTTGCAAATGTTTTTAACCTATCTTTTAACTTAAGTATTTTAAAGCCGTGTCTCATTCTTTTGACCTCTGCATCAGAGAAAACTCCCACCAATACTATAACCTACCGTTTTGAGTCAAGATCAGTGATTTTTCTTAAATTTTTTTGGTTTCTGTGTACCAAATTCATTTATACTCTTTTCATTTACAGTATTTGGTGTGAATTCAGGTAGCTCAAAGGGCATTGTATGGTTTTTGTTCCACTTTCTATAAATTTTGCTTTTACAGTGCAGTCAGCAAAACTAACGGGAACCAAGGAGCCAGTTTTCCTCTTTAAGAAGATAATAACGTTTGACTGTTTTAGTTTGGTCAAATTGGACCCACCCTCTTGGCACTTACAGAGTTATTGCAAGACTTAACTATAGACAGTGACTACCTTAGTTTTTCCTTTGCAAAATAAGACTTGGGCTTTGATGTTGCCAAGTTTTAGCTACAGATTGGCTCTCAAAAAAATGAACTCTGGGAGTCAGTCTGAATGCTTTTATTACTGACATAGGTTTAATAATGTCAATCAGTTTCATTTTCTTGACATTAGTGAGCCATCCCTTTAGAATGAGAAATTTCTTCTAAGAGGTTTTCCTTAATAGAATTTTACTTGTAATAATTGTAAAAGAAGAAATAATAAAAAAGATAGCAAGGAATTAGTCACGAAGGCTGGATTATGTCCTTGATGCTCCAGTGCCACATGCATTTATTGTTCTTAAAATAGGTTTTACAGCTCTCTTAGCCCACTCATATCTCCACCTAGAACTTCAATTAGAGTTGCTTCAAACACAGGTCATATGATAAACATGCCCCTTGTAGCCCCACTGTAAAGAAATTTAATTAACATAGTCATTATTGAGCACCTAGTATCTTTATGCCCTTTTGTCGGTTCCCACTCAAAGCGACCCTGTGTATACCAGAGCAAAACACTGCCTGGTCCTGTGCCATCCTGACAGTTGTTGCTATGTTTGAGCTCATTGTTGCAGACGCTGTGTTAATCCATCTCACTGAGGGTCGTCTTCTTTTTCGCTGGCCCTCTACTTTACCATGATATCCTTCTCCAGGGACTGGTCCCTCCTGGTAACATGTCCAAAGTACGTGAGACAAAGTCTTGTCATCCTCGCTTCCAAGGAGCGCTCTGGCTGTACTTCTTCCAAAACAGATTTGTTCATTTTTCTGGCAGTCCACGCTGTATTCAGTATTCTTCGCCATAATTCAAATGTGTCAGTTCTTCAGTCTTCTTTATTCATGGTCCAGCTTTTGTATGCATATGAGGTGATTGAAAATACCAAGGCTTGGGTCTGGTGCACCTTAGTCCTCAAAGTGATACCATTGCTTTTTAACAGTTTAAAGAGGTCTTTTGCAGCATATTTGCCCAATGCAATATATCCTTTGATTTCTTGATTGCTGCTTCCATGGGCATTGATTGTGGATCCAAGTAAAATGAAATCCTTGACAATGTCAGTATTTTCTCCGTTTATTCCCTATAAATCCCTACAAAAACCCTGAAGATGACTATTGATAATTCTCTCATTTTTCACATGAAGAAATTTAATTTCAGAGAGATGACATTATTTCTTCAAAACCACACTCTCAAGAAGTAATAACATAGATATTATTAATTGCTCATCATGTACCAAGCAGTGTACTAAATGTTTTATGTAGACTGTTTTATTTAATCTCACATAGTTTCGTATTATTCTGTTTTCAAATGAGGCAACCAGTTCTTGAGATGTTAAGTAATTTTGTTAACACATAGCAGGTAAGAGATGGATCCTGGATTCTAACACCAGACAAAATTCCTTATTCCAGAGCTCACTCCTTTAACCATTATGCTGTATTACTCTGAATTATAAAAGCTCTGAATTAGAACTCAGAGCCTTTAATCTAAGGCTTGTTCTCTGTGTGCTGTAACTTTTACCCTCTAGTTATCCCCCTTGCGCACTGTTTCTCTTAAAAATGGGGTATATAAACTGAACTCTAATTTATAACACTACATCTATGAGAAACATACCTTTGGTTTTATGTTGTCCAGGAGCTAATTCAGTGGTGTATTAAGGGCCATCTGTGGGTATAAGTTGTAATATATGGGCCTCCTGTTTTCTAGTTACTGGTTTGTTTATTGAAGGAAATAATCCTCTATTATACATCTGTTAGAGTGCTTTGTTTCTTTAGTAGGAAAAGCAGTTCATTATTAAAATATACCTTAACACTATTTTGAACCATTTATTTGAAAGTTAATGCCGATCGTTTTGATAAGCGTTAGTGGAAGCTACTACACTTCGTGGTTGAAAGGGGAATTTTTCTTTTTTTTTCAGTTTATTTATTCTTAAATCTCCTTTCTAGGTTGGAATAATTCTTCATTATTCCACTCTTGCCACAGTACTCTGGGTGGGAGTGACAGCTCGAAATATCTATAAACAAGTCACTAAAAAAGCTAAAAGATGTCAGGATCCTGATGAACCTCCACCTCCACCAAGACCAATGCTCAGGTACCCAGTATCTTTGTTTACTGTATTATATTAAATGTTAAGTAATTGGTTTGCTTTAGTTGAAACTTAGTCATAAATTATAACAGGAAAATTTTGAGTGCATTTTTGAAAACAAAAGAATGGGCTTGGAAGCCGGACTACCTGGTTTTGAATACTGACTCTGCAACCTTCTAAATGTGAGTCCTTAGGTTCTTAAACCTTCCTCATCTCATCTACAAAGTGGTGACGATACTACCTCACAGAGTTTTCGTGAGGGATAAATGGATTAATATGTAAGCACTTAGGATGGTGCTGGCCATATAATATGTGGTATAGTAGTTAAAGCAATCGACTACTAACCAAAAGGTTGGCAGTTTGAATCCACCAACCACTCCTTGGAAACCCTGTGGGGAAGTTCTGCTCTGTCCTGTAGGGTCATTATGAGTTGGGATCGACTAGACGGCACCAGGTGTAAGAATGTTAGCTTTTTTTTCTGAGGTCATATGTTATAGATTTTAATCTACTCAGGTATGTAGCAATTTAATTATTCTCTACAAAAGACAAAACAGGTTTTGAGTTATGCCCTTCCTATTTATTATGAAAAAAAAGATCAGTGGGTTATTATGCTGGGAATGAAGACTGAGTTTATTGAATGCATGTTTTGTACCAGGCAGAGTCCCTGGGTGGTGCAGACAGTTAATGTGCTCTGCTGCTAACTGAAAGATTGGAGGTTCAAGTCCACCCAGAGGTGCCTTGGAAGAAAGGCCTGAAAGAAATACCTACTTCTGAAAAATCAGCCATTGAAAACTATAGGGAGCACAGTTCTGCCTACATACATGAGGTTGCCGTGAGTCAGAGTCAATACAACGGCAACTGGTTTTTTATGAACCAGGTGCTGGGCAGGGACGTGAAGAAGACCTCCTTGCCCTTGACGAATTTACTAATCTGAGAGAAGACACATATAGACACACATAGGAAGAACGGACTATAATGAAATATCACCAGAACGCAGTAGAGATACGTTCTTTGGAGAGTGTGAAGGAAGGAGCTGTTAATCTGAGGAGGAGGGATTTGGGTATTAGAAAATGTTCATGCTGGCATGAACCTTGATGTGTGATCAGAGCAAAGCATAGAGGTGGCACTCTCAAGATAAGATTATGTAGTGAGCTGAAGACTCTTTGAGAGATACAGTTTGGCTAGAGCCTAGTAGGGTGTGTGGTGTGGAGTGTCAGGAATTCAGGTGGAAAGCTGAGGTTGGGGCCTGTTGAGGTGATGTTAGAATGTGGGCTGCCATTGAAGACTATTAAATAAGAGAGTGGTCTGATAGATGTCTGTTTTTATTTTTAAGAAGGATAGCCATGGTGTTAGTGTGGAACATTGAAATGCCTGGGAATAAGGAATTCCATTGAGGCCACTAAAATAGTCCCCCTGAGAACTGAAACCATGCAGTGGTGTGGAGAATAGAGAGGGGACACATGTTCAAGAGACTTGAGGCAGTTTCTCTAGGATCAGTGACCAACCGGATATAAAACGTGTGAGAAGAGAAGTTTGAAGATGGTTGCAAATTGTACCCTGTTGTCAGCTAGGGTACCCCAGCAGGTGGTGCTTCCATCATCAGAGAAGATAAACACAGGAGAAGGAGAGATGGGGGGAGGTATGGATTGAATTGTCTTCCCCAAAAAGTTATGTTGAAGTCTAATCCCTGTACTGTGAATGTAATCCTGTTTGGAAAATAGGGATTTTCTTTTGTTATGTTAAGGAGGTCATTAACAGAATAGGGTGAGTCCTAAGCCTAATCCTTCTAGGTGAGTGATGTTTTATAAAGGGGAGTACAGACACACACACACAGGGAAGAGACCATGGGAGGAACCTTCTGTAAGCTAAGGAATGCCAAGGAACACCTGGGTCTACCAACAAGGAAACTTCCCTCCCTTAGAGCTGACCCCCTGGACTTGGACTTCTAGCCTCCAAAACTGTGAGATGATCAATATCTGTTCTTTTAAAGCCACCTACTTATGGTATTTTTTTTTTTTTTAACAGCAGCACTGGGTCACTAAGTTGGGGAGTAGAGGATAAGGACAGAAGGTAGACTCACCAGCACTTTCTTGTGGAACATTCTCGTTTTGGGAAGTCTAGCATACTCTAAATGGGGCAGGAGCCATTTATACGTGTGTGGCCACTGGAGCAGTGGTAACGACCAGGATCGCCCAGAGAGAAGTTAGTTAAAAAAACAATGATCCCTGGGCTTTGTCACTGTTTAATAGATGGGCCGTGAAAAAGTCACTGGACAAATTGAAAGAACATCAGAGGAATATGAAGATCCAGGGGGAGAGTGGTTCCATGGAAGATAACAGAGCATGAGTGCTTAGCTGCACCCATATTGTCGGATGAGAGAGAGTCTCTTAACATGTATTAAGAAACTCTGGAATCCTATCCTCAAGCAGCCGTTGCTTCTGGTATAGTTAACCAGTTGCTATCCAGTCTATTCTGACTCCTGGTGACCCCCTGTGTGTCAGAGTACAACTGTTATTCATCGGGTTTTCCATGGCTGATTCATTGGAAGTAGATCACCAGGCCTTTCTTACGAGGCACCTCTGGGTGGACTCAAACCTCCAGCCTTTCGGTTGGCAGCCAAGCACGATAACTATTTTCACCACCCAGGGACTCTTGCTTCCTTCCAGTCAGGTTCTGAAAAAACCAACACACAAAGGTTAAGTAAAAGGCAGCTTGGCCTCCAAACTTCTGCAGTTCTCCAATGACCCACAAGTACTTTGGACAGTAAAAGTTCCACCTTTTAGCACTGTTGTCCTCTTGCTCCTAATGTCCTTGGTGTTAAGCAAACCCTAGCAACACTGCTACGCAGAGGGTGGGCTGGGGTCTTGTCTCTGAGTGCCTCCAAGCCCCCAGAGAGGGCAATTTCAGTTGTGGGTGGAAGCAGCTGCATAGTAAGTTGATAAAGCTAAGGCAGGTGGTGGTGCTAACGTTGCTGGGGATTCGTACTGAAGTGAGAGAGAAAGAGGGCTGTAGTTCAAGGAAAGTTTTAGAGGATGGGAGAAACTCGAGCACTCATTTACAGGCTGAAAATAAGCAGTGGAGATTTTCAAACTGTAAAGTAAGGAATAATGGATTGCAGAAAGCCCCAGTGGAAAAAATAGTAGCAGAGAGGTTTGTAGAACCCGTGGTAGTGGCAATTCCTAGGGCCGTGGTAACAAATATTAAAAAGTTGACGGTTTAAAACACCAGAAATTTATTGTCTCACAGTTCTGGAGGCCAGAAGTCTGAAATCAAGGTGTCAGCAGGGTTGTGCTCCCTCTATCAGCTCCAGAATCCTTCTTTGCCTTTTCCGGCTTCCTTGCCTTGTGGACTTATCACTCCTATCTCTGCCTTCATCTTCACACAACGCTCTTCTCTGTATATGGGTATCTCTGTGTGTTCTTTCTTCTTACGAGGACACCAGTCGTTAGTTCTGGTGGTACAAATGAGTAAGTGCTCAGGTGCTAACTGAAAAGTTGGCAGTTCAAATCTATCCAGAGGCACCTTGGAAGAAAGGCCTGGTGATCAACTTTCGAAAGCTTACAGCCATTGAAAACTCTATGGAGCACAGTTCTACTCCAAAACACGTGAGGTCACAAACCAAATTGATAGCAACATTTTTTTTTCCCTTCATCCTGTGACGTCATTTTAACTTGATCACATCCTCAAAGGCCCTATTACCAAGTAAGGTCACATTGACAGGTACCGAGGGTTAAGATTTGAATATGTCTCTTTTGGGGCAGGGTGGGGCACAATTCAACTCACCGCGTGGACTAACTTTCTGCTTTACTAGCTGAATATAAAGGAAGCCAATTCCCGGTATGAGCTAAAAACATAGTTGAGTTTTACTTGGCCTGTCCACAAGGTGGCAGAAGCTTATCGTCTTTCGTCAGCTCCAAAACTGAACTAGACCTTGTGCTTTAAAAAAAGAAATCCAAAACAAACACAGATCCGAAAGATGGAATCGTTAAAGAAATCGCCTCCAAAAGTTAACTCCAGTAACTTATCATTGGAACAAGAATAATAACCTTCAAGGAACAACTTTTAAAGCACTGAGATGTTGTGATACATACACTAAAAGAATTGTCGCAATGAGCCATTATTCCTCCTTCTTCCAGGTTTTACCTGATTGGTGGTGGCATCCCTATCATAGTGTGTGGCATAACAGCAGCAGCAAACATCAAGAATTATGGCAGCCGGCCAAATGCGCCTTAGTGAGTATTTTGTATTCTCTGTATACCTGACCTATTGCTTCTCTTTTTAAATATTTTACAGGCAGTAGGAGCCCTGGGGAAACCCTGGTAGCATAGTGGTTAAGTGCTACAGCTGCTAACCAAAAGGTCGGCAGTTCGAATCCCCCAAGCACTCCTTGGAAACTCTATGGGGCAGTTCTGCTCTGTCCTATAGGGTCGCTATGAGTAGCAATCAACTCAACGGCAACGGGTTTCGTTTGGTCGGTTTTAGGAGCCCTGGTGGCGCAGTGGTTAAGAGCTCCACTGCTAACCGAAGGTTGGGAGTTCGAATCTACCAGCCGTTCTTGGAAATCCTATGGGGTGGTTCTATTCTGTCCTATAGGATCACTATGTGTCTGAATCGACTGAACAGTAATGGGTTTGGTTTTGGTAAGGTTTATTGCAAGGAACCCTGGTGGCACAGTGTTTAATGCTTGGCTGCTTACCGAAAGATTGGTGGTTTGAACCCATCAGCCACTTCGTGGGAGAAAGATGTAGCAGTCTGCTTCTATAAAGGTTACAGCCTTGGAAACCCTATGGGGCAATTCTACCGTGTCCTGTCAGATCGCTATGAGTCAGAATCGACAGCGGGTATGAGGTGGCACAGTGGTTAAACACCTGGCTGCCAGTTGAAAGGTTGGTGGTCGAAACCCCCCAGCAGCTTCACAGTAAAAAAGACGTGGTGATCTGCTCTCATAAAGATTACAGCCCAGGAAACCCAGTGGAGTAGTTCTACTTTGTCACAGGGGGTTGCTGTGAGTTGGAATCGACTCAATGGCGTATAGCAACAACAACGACAACAACAAGGTTTATTACAAGTTCTTAATTAGTTTGTTAAAATATGTAGCCACTGAGCTGGTTCCCCATTTTCCTTCGTAGTTGCTGGATGGCGTGGGAACCCTCTTTGGGAGCCTTCTATGGACCTGCCAGCTTCATCACTTTCGTAAACTGCATGTACTTTCTAAGCATATTTATTCAGTTGAAACGACATCCTGAACGCAAATACGAGCTTAAAGAGCCCACTGAGGAGCAGCAGAGACTGGCAGCCAACGAAAATGGTGAAGTAACGCATCAGGATTCCATGTCTTTGTCACTGATTTCTACATCAGTATTGGAAAATGAGCACACTTTTCATTCTCAGCTTTTGGGGGCCAGCCTCACTTTGCTCTTATACGTGGCTTTGTGGATGTTCGGGGCCTTGGCTGTTTCTTTGTATTACCCTTTGGACTTGGTGTTTAGCTTCTTTTTTGGAGCCACATGCTTAAGCTTCAGTGCGTTCATCATGGTCCACCATTGTGTTAATAGGGAGGATGTTAGACTTGCCTGGATCATGACTTGCTGCCCAGGAAGGAGCTCATATTCAGTGCAAGTCAATGTCCAGCCTCCCAGCTCCAGTGGGACGAATGGAGAGGCTCCTAAGTGCACCAATAGTAGTGCAGAATCTTCCTGCACTAACAAAAGTGTATCAAGCTTCAAAAATTCCTCCCAAGGCTGCAAATTAACGAATTTGCAGGCTGCTGCAGCTCAGTGCCATACCAGTTCTCTCCCTTTAAACTCTGTGCCACAGCTTGATAATAGCCTGACCGAACACTCGATGGACAATGATATTAAAATGCACGTGGCGCCTTTAGAAGTTCAGTTTCGAACAAACATGCACCCAAGTCGCCATCATAAAAACAGAAGTAAAGGACACAGGGCAAGCAGACTCACAGTCCTAAGAGAATATGCCTATGACGTCCCAACGAGTGTGGAAGGAAGTGTGCAGAATGGCTTACCCAAAAGTCGGCCCGGCAATAACGAAGGACATTCAAGGAGTCGAAGAGCTTATTTGGCTTACAGAGAGAGACAGTACAACCCGCCCCAACAAGATAGCAGTGATGCTTGTAGCACACTTCCCAAAAGCAGCAGAAATTTCGAAAAGCCCGTGTCAACTAGTAGTAAAAAAGATGCTGTAAGGAAGCCGATTGTAGTTGAGCTTGAAAGTCAGCAGAAATGTTACGGCCTCAACTTGGCCATTCAGAATGGACCAATTAAAAGCAACGGACAGGAAGGACCCTTACTCAGTACGGATAGCACTGGCAATGTTAGGACTGGGTTATGGAAACACGAAACTACTGTGTAGCATTGGTGGGCTTCCTTGACAGAAATTCACGTAAACTGTGATACTCACATTCCTTTAAGCTATAAACATCTGTAAACAGACTGTTTACAGCCAGCATAGGGATTCAAAAAATTTTGGAATAAACTTCTAAGTTTTGGATTTTACTTATTTTAAATCCCTAAAATGTTGATTTTTTTATGATTATATAAAAAAACTTTTTAAGGCCTTCCTTTAGTTGTCAGAATACCAACCAGGACATTTTGGGAATGTGAAATGTAATTTCTTAGAATCTGTAATACCTACTTAACATTTCAGGCTTATATTTAATACAATAAATAGTTGTTTGTCATTGTGTCAGTCTTACACATATTTATATTTTACAATATAAGTGTTTAATTCCATTTTAATGAAATTTATATATTGGAATATTTTAAGGAAAATGATATGTAAATCAGTTATCAGGTATTTTACATGGTTAGCTCCACTGATTATAGTATATAAAACAAAGGTTCATTGGATTGGTGTGTTTCATAAATATAGTTTCAAAAGTTACAAGCTTTTAAAAAGACCTCCTAGTTTTTTGTAAGTAGTAATACCTAAGAAACTTCCTGAATTGCATTACTTTTGTCATATCATTTTGATCCCAGTAATACTATTAACACTTGACCTTTTAGGGGTTTTATATTTGCATTTAATTTTCTTTTTTTGGTGGTGGTTTTTGTTTTTCTAGCACGTACATTATTCTTGAGTGTGAATGAAGAGCTGCCATATAAAGTTCACATTCACTCATTCTAGATCCTTCAGTATTGACTCTAACCCTGTTCTTAAACAGATCAAGTCCCATTTAGGTTCTTGCTAAAGTTCTGATATTTAAAGTTCATTCTGTAAGGTGGAAATGGCTCTGATCCAAAAGTTGTTATTCATTTGTTGGACTTGCTGATGCCCCTGTGAGCCTGGTCTTTACAAATCTCCAGTCTAGAAGCTCCCTGGGACCTGTTACAGGACTTACTCACAGGCCAGGGTGGGTCAGCCCTGACTCCTTAGGTCTTCCCTTCCCTCTGATATGTGATACAACACCTGAAAAATTGGCACAGCTTAGTTCCATTTTCAGCAGCAATCGAACAGATTGCCACATCAGAGAGCATGATTTAAAAGTACCTATTCGAGAAATGGCAAAAGGGGCAAGCGGCTTAGCTTGATAAACCGTAAAATTTGAGAGGTTTTACTGAGCAATTCACAGAGATGCTACAAGATCACCCATTATAATGTAAATGTTTACTTTTCATTAGGTCACTACATTAGAAATAAATTACTTGCTTTGGAATGATAAAACTGATTCAGCATTTTTTCAGGTGATGTAATTTAGAGACATTCTTTTTGGTGGGGAACACGAGGCAAAACAAACAGATTTGCCATTTGTATATATAATAAAGGGATCCCTGGATAGCGTAAATGGTTTAGTACTCCACGACTAACCAAAATGTTGGCAATTTCAACCCACCCAGAGGCACCTCGGAAGAAAGGTCTGGCAATCTGCTTCTGAAAGGTCACAACCTTGAAAACCCTATGGAGTGCAGTTTTATTTTGACACACCTAGGGTCACCATGAGTCAGAATTGACCTGATGACAACTGGTTTGGTTTTCTTGATTATATAATGCTACCTAGCTCAGGGTCTCCTGGTAAATTGATGTACATGTGCAGGATGTTATTTAGAAATGATACAGATAAGCTAATATGAAATGGAATGAATAGTTCTTATTTCGTTTTTACTGTTTTTATTTTGCTATGTCATTCTGGCAATACATTATCCAAGATTTGATCTGTTTCTCTGACCCATTGGTGAACCCTTCGTAAGGAAAAGAGCTTTGTTCTCTTCTTTTTCTACCTCCCCTTCCTGACCATTGAATAAGCATTTATTAAGCACAACTTTCCATAAGTGACAGAAAGAACAGGAGTCTAGAGAAAAAAATGACTGGAAAATAAGCAGAATACTTGAAAAAAGTGAAGATCCCGGTCTCCGGCAAGATGGCGGTCTAGGCAGAAGCACCACGCCGTCCCTCCACAACAAAGATCCGAAAA